CCATTATTATTGAATATGAAAAGGTGAATAGGTAAGCGGCGGAGCGGTTATCAATGACGAAAGAGAGCAGACATTAGATGAAAACCAGAGAAGGCACAACACGATTTCACAACATGAATTTAACAATTTTGAAAATCAAAACACCATTAGTCAAAATGCAAATTAGTCAAAATGCAAATTTGGAGGTAAACAGCAATTTGGATTTGCATACAGACAATGATATTGTCCAAAACAGTCACGAACGGCAAGAAACCGAAGCTGTAGAGGGCTTTGAAGTGACTAATGACTGTCCTGGTGAACCACACGCCGGCATACATGAAGCAGGACGTCTACCCGACTATGTTGCTGTTAATATACCATCGATTACCATCTGGGGACACAGAGCGGACGGCTCAATAAATACGGTCAACTCGTCAACCATAATTAATGCATACGATGAAATTACGCGATGGCGTAAAAATACTTTCCTCGTCCCATATGGCAAAGTTGGGCGAGACTTTATCGACCAGCTAACACAACATATAAACGATTGGAACAACGCATCGCAAACACAACACATAGCGCTGAAAGCTGCAATTGTTCTCTTGGCAACGGCACTGCTACCCTTGATCAGGGGGTTTGCTGAAGCTGTAGCCTGCACTCAGGCGGTGCTGGCCAAATTGGAAACCCCCTGGGCACGATGTGTTCATTGATTGAGTTTTCCGAACCAATCAGATGCCTAGGGTCAGATTTTGACCCTAGACATCTGATTGGTTTATCGGGCCTTATTGGCAAACATCAATAAACGTTTGCTGTATTCTATTCTATTTATACTGTTCGACAAGTGAGTGCATTAATTTCGTTAACAAAAAGCGATTGTTCATGGAAACGTTTATGAGGAGAATTTGTTGGTTGTCGTCTCAGATGAAGTTCATGTTATTCCTAAACAGTTAGATCAAATAGCGTCATTGCAGACATATTAATATCACGCTATGATGATGCGATGATTCTGTATATATTTCGAGTAATTGAGCAGAAATTTGTCATGTGTGTGTGGTCGTGTTGTGCTGTACAGCCTGTACTGTATGCTGTACTGTATGCTGTACTGTGTATGTTCAATTGTTTTTAATGTAATTTGTTGTTTTAAAATTGTGTAGCCCGTATTGTGGAATTCATGAATATTTATGAACAAAAATTCATTTGGGCTAAATATATTATATATTTTATATGTAAATATACACAATGTAAAGCCCGAAACAGATATAGAACGTTCTGTATCATCAAACCTGAAAGTAATAATTCAATAACTGTCATTACTTTATATTTCACATGCAAGTATTAAAATATGTACTTGATTGTTGCTTGTATTTTGAATTTGTAACTTGAAACTGCTTAGAATGGACAGATTTGCCGATTGTCAATTTGTCATCAGTATAAAATTTGGAGACAGGTGTCCAAAATAGATAGCCAATGCGCCAGTTTATTGGAAATCTTCCCAGAGAAAATATTACATTTTCCTCTTCCGAATACAACAATTAATGCAACATTGGCAAACACAACAAAATTGATCAGGGGAATATGTTTTTGTTGAATACTTTTGAATATGCCTACGTACTGGACTACACCCTTCAGACCGGAAGTGTGAAACATTAATAAATTACGTCATGGAAATGAAATTCGACAGGTCGCGCCCAGAGGTTTTCCCCGCCTCGTCGCCTCTAGAAAACCTCTGAACCCAGGGTACGGCACTGCAAAAGCCAAGCGTAAAATCGAAGGCAAAAGATCACAAAGAGTGCTTGGAAAAATGACTAGCGTTATGGAAAGGAGAAGTCGAGAGCTTATTTCGTGAAGGCTGGTCCATTCAAAAGCGTCTAGCAAAGGCTAAAAGGACGGAGCCTCCAAATAAAGCATAGATATTCGCCAAGTTGGTCATGGAAGGTCAGATCAATTCTGCTTTGAGATATCTCAGTGAGGGTGATTGTGATGGAGTGCTGCCTTTAACTGACGATGTGACGAGACAGCTTCAGGAGAAACACCCTGAGGCACAAGAGGCCAAACTTGGCTCGTTACTCTTCGGGCCATTTGAGGAAGTGCACGATTCGTTATATCAGCAGATTGATGGCGAAATGATACGCGAGACAGCATTGCGAACCAAGGGCTCCAGCGGCCCTTCAGGAGTGGATGCAAATCGATTCAAGCATATTTTCGCATGTAAATCGTTTAAGAAATCAGGCGTAAACTTGTGTGAGGCAGTAGCAACAATGACCCGGCGGCTATGTACGGAAACATTGACCCGAGAACTTTCAAGCCTATATTAGCCAACAGGCTTATACCTCTTGACAAAGGCGAGGGCACGGTTCATCCAATTGGCATCAGGGAAGTTATCAGGAGGATTGTCGGGAAATGTGTTATGAAAGTGATTAAGCCCGACGTGATTGATGCCAGTGGATCACTACAGGTGTGCGCAGGTCTTAAGAGCGGAAGTGAGGCAGCCGTTCATGCAATGCACTCCATATTTGAAGCAGATGAGACAGATGCTGTACTTCTGATTGATGCCTCAAACGCACACAACATAACAGTTCTGTGTCCATCTATGTCAACCTACGCAATTAACACCTATCGCGAACCAGCTAGACTATTTATATCTGGTGGAGGAGAGCTCGCGTCCACCAAGGATACCACACAAGGGGATCCCCTGGCCATGGGGATGTATGCCATCAGTCTTCAACCCCTGATCACCGGATTGAATGTGTTAAGCAATGTTGGTTTGCTGACGACGCGAGTGGCGCGGGATTTCTGGAAGATATCAAGCGATGGTGGGAACACCTAAATGAAGCTGGCCATAATTTGGGATACTTTCCAAATGCTAAGAAATGCTGGCTGATCATAAAGCCTGGAAAAGAAGAAAGTGCTCATGCTATTTTTGATGGGACAGCGATCAATGTCTCTGCGCAGGCGCAAAAGCATTTGGGCGCAGCCTTGGGTTCTATGGCTTTCCCGGAAGAATACGTCAACGGCAAGGTAGAGGACTGGATTAGCCAAATCGTCAAGTTAGCTGAATTCACAGCGTCACACCCTCAAGCCTGCTATGCCGCCTACACCTTTGGCCTCCGCCATTGATGGACGTATTTTCTGAGAACACTTCCAGATATAGAAGATTTACTGGAGCCCTTGGAGCGTGCTATTGCTGATGTCCTGATACCATCAATTACGGATCATCACTGTACAAAGAGTGAAAGGGATCTCCTGGCACTCCCAGTACGAATGGGCGGTCTTGGCCTTATAAATCCTAGACAGGATGCAGCACTGCAGTACGAAACGTCGATAATGACCACAGCGCCACTGGTAGAGAAAATTATTGCACAAGCCTACGAAATTCCAGATGACTCTGTTATTCACACACTGCAGCAGAATGCGCGAAATGAAAAGAACGAAGTACTTCAGGCTAAACGGGATGGTATTAAGAACTCTCTACCCCCGAAAACACGGCATGCTATGGAACTAGCAACTGAAAAAGGTGCATCCAACTGGCTAACAGTTATCCCCATTAAGGAAATGGACTACAATCTGAACAAGGGTGAGTTTCAAGACGCAGTAAATCTGAGATATGAGTGGAAAATTGCTGATAAGCCATCAGTATGCGTGTGTGGCGATACTTTCAATATTGATCACACAATGATCTGCAAGCGAGGTGGGTTCATAATACAGCGCCACAACGAGCTGCAGGATCTTGAGGCTGATATGCTTAACATCGTCTGTAATGATGTCGAGGTTGAACCCGTTCTTCAAGAGTTAACTGGCGAGGTTTTACCAAGAGGAGCAAATACAGCATCCGACGCTCGCCTAGATATCCACTGCTTTTGGGAGAAACAAAGGTCCGCGTTCTTTGACGTTAGGGTTTGTCACCCCAATGCGGAATCCTACAAAGACCTGAGCCCTCAACAGATATACAGGCAACATGGAAACGAGAAGAAGAGGATGTATGCCCAAAGAGTGATGGAGATAGAACATGGAACTTTTACACCATTAGTATATACAACGACCGGAGGCATGAGTGAAGAGTGCAAGAGGTATCATAGCAGATTGGCCGAGCTCATAGCAGCGAAGAAAGGCGAAGACTACTCTAAGACCATGTCCTGGATATGAGCCAAGGTCTCCTTTGCCATCTTGCAGTCAGCTCTACTTTGTCTCAGAGGGACTAGAGCACCCAGGAGGATAACAACGAACGTTCAAGAAACAGACTTCGAAGTAGACAAATTCTTGTGCCAAAATTTAGGCTTAGACTTTTACCATAAATTAACTGCTTACTATAACATATACTATAACATACTACAACAATTTAGATTTTATAAATTATTATTATTATTATTATCTTAGCAGTATGGTTGCTGTTGGGTTCTTCAAGAAAGTATCCAAACTTCCTCCACAAACATCCTAAAACAACTTAATATTAAATAGAACAGAAGTCAAATTTCTACCCCTTCTCCTTTCAACAGTAGAAATTTCTTGAGGATCATGTTTGGATCATTTCTGGAATTACACATTGGTTTCAGCACATATAGATTTTCTTGGCCAAAGCAAGGCAATAGTTCAGTATTAAACTTTAAGACAGTCAAAGCAGACATAATATGTTTCTTTTCTTTCTACACACTTTTTAATAAAAATCTCTTCAATTTAATGCCATATTAAGGATATGGTTATGAACCGCTTTGTGTTATATTATATGAAGTATTGAATAATTCAAACATGGCAGAAAACTGAAGAGTCAGTGAATTATATGTTTTGTATCACCATATTTTAAAGTTTCCAATACCTTTTATTTATACTGCAGTATATTTATACATAAAAAGAAAAGTATTATTTCTGCTTCGACTATTTTAAAGGTATATATTATATACCCATTTGGTTTATATAGTATTTATATAATATTGTTATTAACATTATATTGTTTATACTGTTATGTTTTAGGTTGCACCACTTGAAGAAAGAGCTAAGTCCTGCAGTTTTGGAAGAGAGTGAAGATGAGGCAGAACAGATATTCTCTGGGAGAATTGCATATGTGCCATGATGCAACTGGTGATGAAGAATCTGAAGCAGTCATGCAAATGATCAAGAAAGTGATGACCTGTTTCCAAGAACTGTTGTTGACATTAGCAGAGCTAAAGCTTCCAATTGTCCAACCAAGATGGTGTGACTTGACCGATGCTGGACCAGGAGTTGGGGTCTCCAATTTCGAGGTGAAGTTCCGAGATGCTGAGTTATGTCGTATATTCAATTCCGACCACCGAATTCATGTTCATCATTCAAGAGGTGACAGTGGACAGAATGAAGCGGAAAGAACAAACTCTGCAATTGGTGATGTAGTGGTTGATGGGGCAACTATAGAATGGGAGAAATTTAAGCGGTTTGAAAGTTTGAGTGAGGAAGAAATAGAAGCCCTTTCTGTCAAGGAATATGAAGAGGATGGAACAAAATGCATGGAGCATCTCTAAGCAGTTGGTAGACAGAATCGACGGGCAGACAAAAGACAATGGCAGGTATGCTATTTTTATGAGAATGAGATCTTAGGCTATGGAATCATCAGGGGCCGGTTGTACGAAAGGTGGATAAATCGCTATCCGGTGGATAAGTCCCTATCCAACGGATAAATTTTATCCAGAGTGAAAATCGCGTTGTACGAAGCTTGGATAACTTTATCCAACAGATAAAATGCACTATCTGTTGGATAAATTTACCCAAGGTCCGGAGGTAGTTTAAATCCACTATCCGGCGGATAAAACTTAAAACTTTTCATCCATCATTGAAAAGTTTGTGTTATAAACTGAACAATTTTCATAAATTTTGTACAATATGGCGATCTATTGAATTCCTGGTTTTCATTTACCTTTAAATAACCTACCTCGAGCAAACAGACGAGCAGAGTGAGTTTTTAGACAAGAAATCCCAGATGAAAACATCTTGCAGTACTATTCCGACAGCGATTTGCGAGCACGGTATCATTTCGGTAGAGAAGCAATTGTGAACATCGTCCGCCTTATTGAAGAGAAAATACGTCCTGCAACGAACCGAAGCTTTCCAATTTGGGCAACAAATCAAGTGTTGATAACATTAAGATTTTTGGCAACAGGCAGTTTCTTGCAAGTTACAGGAGACACGATCGCTGGGGCAGATAAGTCTACCGTTAGTCATATTGTTCATCGAGTAACTTTGGCAATCGCTCGTAAACTTGATGATTTCGTGAAATTCCCGGGAACACAACACGAGAAAGCCCTCATCAAACAAGGGTTTTACGACCTTGGAGGTTTTCCATGCGTTATCAGATGTGTTGACGGGTCCCGTTATCAGATGTGTTGACGGGTCCCATTAGGATCATAGCTCCATCGGCAAACGAGTGCAATTTCGTCAACAGGAAAGGATATCATAGCATAAACATACAAGGGATCTGTGACCACAAAGGTTTATTTATTTAGCTTTTGCCAACTAGGGCAGAGTCACCACAACAGCATATGCCAATTACTGTGGGCCCTTTTCTACCTAACCCACCCTGTCAACTTTCCTTGTGGGAGGAAACCGGAGTACCCGGGGAAAACCCATGGCTTTCGGCAGAGCGTTGACTTTTACTCTTTTCACATGGGGACTGGGTTCGAGTCGCACTGAGAAGGTACTTAGTGAGACTCGAACCTGCAGCCTCAGAGGTGAAAGGCAAGTGCGTTAACCACTTGGCCACTGAAGCCCGTTTGTTTATATCAAAGCAGGACAATTTAATACTAGTGTGAAACGCACCACATTCGTTCGCACTATTATAGCACAATATTCAGCATCAGCAAAAATTCCTTAGATTTTGTAAAATTTCCTTAAATGTGTCTGGGGGGGATTGAAATCATGGGAGAGGGGGGAGTTTGGTGTTTGTTTCTTGGGGGGTCACCAGAGTTTGAGAAGTAATTTGGGGGTGGGGCTCATGGAAGCAGAAAGCTTTAGTTCTGTGACAATGTTTTGACCTCCAACATACCCAGTAAATTTTATGCCGAAAATAGGCTTTTACTTGTTTTTACTTTTTAGCCCCTTTTTTGAACCAAAATTTCCAACAATTTGCCAATTTGCCAGAAATGTGAGCGGGACAGTTGCCCACCACCCCCACCAAACTTGTTGTAAATATAGGCCTAGAGGCCTGCTAGCTTTTTCTCATTGAGCTTTAATTGCATATGGTACTATAGGGAAATTTCTCAATGTTGTTGCAAAATGGCCTGGTGCAACCCATGACAGTCATATCTTCAGAACATCAGCAATTGGGCTGGCACTAGAAGGAGCAACATTGGATGATGGTGTTCTTCTTGGTGATAGTGGGTATCCATGTTTACCATATCTTATGACACCATACAACAACCCCATCACTGTACAGCAACGGCGATTAATCGAGCACAAAAATGCACAAGATCTTCGATTGAAAGAGCTTTTGGCATCTTAAAAAGAAGATTTCATCTCTTGCTTTCTGAGATTCGAATGGCCCCGCTTTCTGAGATTTGAATGGCCCCAAACAGAGTTTGCACCCTTGTTGCTGCATGTTGCGTGCTTCACAATATTGCCATTGATTACAATGAACCAATGGGGAATCATGACGAGGATGAAGACCAAGTAGACCTTGGCAATAACTATCAAGGTTTGGCAAATAGGGGAGATGCTGTCAGAAGCCATATTACAAACACATATTTTTAATTCATGTTTCAAAAAATTGTAATTCAAATTTCTAATTGACATAATTAACTTAATATTATTTTTTATCGTTACATATATTTACAAAAATATTCTTAATTTATATTCAACAATTTTGTACAAAAATTTGCGAAAGTCGATTAATTAATTTAATATTTGGAATCTGATATACACTGTCATAGTATTATTTTTCAAAAAAATAAGCATAACAACGCACGGCATACAAAAGGTGCAACAATATAATGTCTAAAAATGGAGACCTTGCATGGTTTTAAGCATACAACACACCCTTTCGATGATTATGTCATTTGGCCTGGGAGCCTTGCTCTCATGAATTGTGAGCCAATCACCTTGCATAATTCACTAACGAAAGCAAGGGTCCAAGACCAAAAAGATTGTGTGACGTAATTATTGAAAGGGTGTATTGTGTGGCATGCATATATTCAATGGGTATAATATACCTTTCAAATATAAACAACAAAACAAACTCAACTTGTCATTCAAATTAAAATGCTGCCTCTTCTGCTTCTTTAACTTCCAGTTTTAGTTTTTTTTAATGAGTTTTGCATTCTCTAATTGAACAGAAATCTTCTCCCTCCCTAATTCCAAGATTCCATCTGCATTCTCTGCAGGTCTTGCACTGTTACTTTCCTTTTTTTGATATGGCGAGTAGTGGGAAGTGTGTGGTTGGAAGATTTGTTCTCGGCACTCATACTTGGGGGTAAAGCAATGAAATTAATATCAATTGTTGAGATAGGGATGGTAGGGCTCATTGGTGGTGGATCATCTCTTTCTGAGGGCTCACTTTCAATCAATTCTCGTAATGATGGTTGGTTTACAAATGGGTCATTGAAAAGGTTGTCAGGATTGATGAGTTCAGTTGTGTCAGTGACAGTTGTAATAAGCTGCTTATCGAGCTGCTTATCATTTGATTCATTTCCTGAAAAAATCAATTTACTTTTATATAAATTAATGTACACGAACTGATGAAGTGGAATCCTATAGAAAACACACTCAAACATGAAACAAACTTGCTTGACAATAACAACAATGGTACATATCATGAACTATGTATTTATTAAACTACAAATATTGACTATAAAATATGAGTTATAACTTATCTGAAACAATTAATACTGTCCTCGAGTCAAACTTTTATATAGTGTCCGGTTTAGTTTAGATATACCCAATAGCGCGGCAGTCTATTTTATATTGAAACACACGACAGCCTCATACATCCATTTCCACTTGGTGACTTGGACAAACTTGGTTGTTTTTAGACTATTTTCGACATGTTCTGTATCTGTCGTTTACTTTTCAGCTATGCCTATGATTTCAGTGATAAATATGCTGAAATATTTATTAATTAGGCAAAATTACGCAACCTACCGGATTATGCAATGTGTTGCAATTACGCAATATACCGGAAAAGCTGGGCTGGTCTTCAAAGAGCTCGATGATTCGCCAAGACGTTTCCTTGACTGGCACCGGTGCACTTCCGCCTCCAGTTTGCTTCTGTTGTTGTTTTGTGCGACTGTAATCTTTTTTCGCTGCAGAGACCATCGTTCGCCACTTATCTTTGATTTCACCGGTCGTCCTCCTGGCAACGCCAATGGCATTGACTTTATCCGTAATGAATTTCCATACGATGGCCTTCATTTTATTGTTTAACGTATTGGAAAATTTTTCTCGGTGAGAAAGTTTTCGTTTGGGACATGCATGTATGCATGTTGAAATCAGGCATGCACTTTTATAACAGCACTAACAATACAGTTTGATCTTCAAAATGAAACTTCAGCTTCTCAAATTGTAAAAAGGAGTCATTTCATAGATCAAACATACACGTTTTACCCACCAAACATGTATGTTTCAAAATAAACAAATGCAAAAATAGTGTGTGTTTTGCAGTTGCTTGCAAATGGCAAACATGCATATGTTGTATAAATAAAAAAGTTAACTCGTCTTGAAAAGCGTAATCTCAGTGCACGTACATCATAAAGAAATAGTTTCAAGATTCATATTTATTCTATTTTCATTTATAAGGAAAAAAACTTGCAGATGGGAAGGGTTTGAGTGGTGCTGGTAGATTGACCATAGCCCGGATCGATGCTATCCATAGTTTCTACGGCCTATGTATTCGCCAAAATATAGGCGATTCAAAGACAATGGCTAAGGCTACCAAAGCTATAATGTATCATTATGCCAGTACCGAGGAGAACCCCAGCATACATTTTGTCCAGTTGGAAAGGATTCATGGTGCTCATACCAAAGGGATGTTGCCAATAACACAACATTCCACAAACTTGTAAAGAATCTGTTCCCCCCTGCCATTATCGAGGTGATCAAACCAGTTTCTGATTGTTTGGGTGATGCAAACTTTCTTGCTGGTTGTGAAAGATGTGCAACTCAAAACCCAAATGATTCTTTACCTGTTACCTGTTTCCTTCGCACCCTAGGTGGCACATAAGGCCTCAGTAGCTTTCCTCCATTTCGTCCTGTCCACAGCAGTCACCCTCGCCTCATCCCATGATCTCCTGGAAGCCTTGGCCCTTTCTTACTCCACTGTCCTGCGCCATGTTGTTTTTGGCCTTCCCCTCTTTCATTTCCCTTCTGGTGCCCAGGACATAGCCACATTCATGAGATTATATCTGCCTTGCCATAAAATGTGTCCAATCATCTTCCATTTCCTCTGCTTCACGTCGCTGCTTAGCGATCTGCAGTTTGCCTGCTTCAGGAGTTCCTCTGTAGACACATGGTCTTCCCACTGCACTTTCATTATCCTTCAAAGACATTTGTTGTTGAAGACATCTATCATTTTGCTATCTCCTTTATTCATTTTCCACATTTCACAGCCATATACCAGGACCGGCACAACCAGTGTCTTATAGAGCCTGAGTTTAGTTTTCCTTGATATATTGCTGGATCTCCAGATCTTCTTCAGTCTAATAAATGCCCCTCTCGCTTTTGACAAACGGTTCTTCAGGTCTTTCATGCCCCCACCATCTTTACATACTGTCGCTCCTAGATAACTAAATTCCTCCACATCCTCAATCCTGTCTTGCATTCTGATGGTAAACTGTTCTTGGCTGCTCAGGTTAATTCACATCATCTTTGTCTTCTCCACATTGATCTTCAATCCCACACACCTAGCTTCTGCATCAAGCTTGTTCAATTTATATTGCATTTGCTGCTTGGTGGAAGAGAGCAATGCAATATCATCCACAAAGTCTAGGTCATACAGCTTTGATGTAAATTTCCATCTTATTCCCAATCTCATTCCCAGAGTATGCCTGTTTGCGGGTTATGCAGTGGCATGACTCTGGGGAAATAGAAATCGTTATTTGATTGGCTGCCGCGATCATCAATGCTGCCAACACAAATAATGCATTTTTTTTGCGAGAATTATGTGTGGACATACGCGAAGAGACAATATTATCAGATTTGGAATGCGAAATAAAACAATATAAATCGAAGGATATAATATTAATCGTATGAAAAATTATTGGGACATTGGGTATATACTTACAAAATGGCATGGTATTTATGATTTTTTATCGATCTACAGTATGACTGTACAAGTATATTGTATGTGGAAACGATGGCGTAACAAGTTTCATAATATATTTCCATAATTATATAAACCATGAAACAATTGGCTCAATGAAATCATCGCACATGTTGTCATTGTTTTGTTAAATTGACATATTGTTGCCAGGGGCCGGTTGTATGAAAGGCGTTTAAGTCTCTATCCACTGTTTAACGTGCTATCCGCCGTATAAAAATTAAACGCTCGAGAAATCGCATTGTACGAAGCCTGTTTAGCGCTATCCACCGATTAAATTTCAGCTATCCAGTGGATAAAGTTAAACAGTGTCTTGAGACCATTTAAATTGCTATCCGGCGATTAAATAGTCATTTGCATTGAAAGTTTTTTTCACAAAATGACGTACAGGTTACCTGCCATGCATTTTTATGATCTTCCTAGAGTGAATAGACGAGCCGAGAGAGTTTATAGGCGTGAAATAGACGACATGTTGATGTACTACAGCGTCAACGAGTTACACCAAACGGTATCGTTTCAGTAGACAAACTATTAGGTACATAACACAACTTGTAGGTCAAGATATCGTGATGCTAGAAATGAACTTACGTGCAAGATAAAAACTGCAAAACATGCGTTTTCATCCACGAAACCAAAGGAAGCCTTGAAAATCATACATAGAATACTTAACCCTAACCCCTTGCGAGTTGATCCTGATGAGCTTAACTCATTAACTGGCAAGCTGTTACAATGTTACCACCCCCTAAAGTGGCAAGCAATATGGCAAATTCATGATTGAATTCCAAGCTTTCACCAAAATGGCAATATCTCAGAAACAATTGCATAAAAAAGTCTGATCTTTTCAACCAAACATGAATGATATATGATTGACCAAATTTAGTTTAGATGACCTTGCATACCTATATATATCATTAGTTTTTTCAGTCAGTATTTTTATTTATAAAGCAGTGACACTTTGTTTTTCATGTCACTCATCACCTAAAGAGGCAATATCTCCATAAATTTATATAACAAAAAAAAAATTCATTTACTAAATTAATACATATCTATATTACAACCAATCTTCATCTTTTGGGATATGAATTATGAAATTATCAAAAAATTTAAAAATTACTTTGCTTTTTTGGGGCATCTTGTTTAAAACATGAAATTTAGAACAGTAACTAAGTGTTCAAGTTCAACAAAGTGTGCAAGCCAAAACACAGTGTTTGTACATCTTTAAAGTTTTTTGATTGCTTCAAATATATTTAAAAAGACACATAGTGCTTAAATTTATTTATTTTAGTATAAACCAAGGATGGGAAGGTGAGAAAATGGGAATTTTCTGAGGTGTTTCTAAAACAGACAATGACAGCCGACATTTTGAAAGGCACTCTGTGGTGACAAAACTAAAAGCTATTTCACTTCTGGACTCAAAGCACTGAAAAGCATCATAAACAGAAAAATATTTTAAACACAAGTCAGGTAAGACTTTTAGCTCAATATTCTCATGCTTCTATTGGGAAAGCAATGGTTTAAAAGCCAAAATTATTTTGCGCATCAATGTAGGCTGCTATAAAATGTTAGACAGGCGGTTTCTTTTGAAGTCTGGCTCTGAAAAACAATCTCTTTTTTTGAGTTTGAAATAAGCCGTCATAAGGACTATTGTGTAGAAATGTTATCTATATGCTCACATGAAAAAGATAACCTAATATTCAGGTATTCCACATAGCTATAAAAGAGTGAAATAAGAACTTTCATCTTTGGTTGTTTGTCAGACGTGAGAAACCACATTAGTGCCATTTTGTCTTGTGTGCTATTTTATAAAATAAACACCTCAAAACCATAAACTTTTAGTTCAGAAAATTACAAAGTCTCCCATAGACATTAAAAATGTTCTAGTGAAGCGATTTCATGATAAATAAGTGAGCAATGGGCCCAAAAGAACTGCTAAGTTAGTTTTTGTTAGGACTTCAATTTCATGGCTTCCCACAAAGGAAGCCATTTCAGAGAGAAGCGACATTTTGCAAACAACCGTCGCGACCTATTTTGATAACTTTTCCTTCTGAGTCAACATGAGTTACTAGAAAATGATGTTGCATCAACATTATTATCTGCTTTATCGACTTAAAGTTTTATAGGGGATATAAAAAACAGTAAAAATGCATGAAAGCTTTACAACTCAAGTGCGGACTTTTTGAGAATTTGCACGCGGCAAGCAAGCGCATTTATTCAATACACTTATTTTAAACCACAATACGTCTAAACGAGTTGTCATTTTAAGACTAAATTGATGAAAATAGATATAACAGTGATTTTGGAATATCCTACATATTTAGTGTAATTTAATACTCGAAGTATTCTTGCCAAAAAGGTCACGTACGCACACAGTGTTGTTTGAAATATACTTTAGCTAAAATAACTTGAACAAGAAGACCAACAATGGGGTCACGAAAACAGTCGAAATTGCGCCCAAATTTGCATAAACAGTTCGTCAAAAAAGATAACTTTAAACTAGATTCAACCAACATTAATGCGGTCGAATTTTGTGAGTGTTTGATCACATATTTCTACTAAAAAAATACCCTTTAAAAAATCGTATCTGCTCACTTGAGTTCTATTTTTAATAAAGTTTGGAGAAATCCTCATCTTTTTGGCTGGAAATCTCGCGCATGGTTCACAGAAGAACTTGGCCCAAAACGGCAATACATTCGCTTTCCTTTCATGCCAAATTTTCGTTGTAGATGATTCAAAAACCTCTTCTTTTTTCGCTTTAAAACTTGCTGTGAAATTCTTCTTTGCAACAATATCGCCATTATTCATTGTTTTTGAAAAAAACTAAGGTTTTAAACTTGAAAAACTTTGCGAGTTTTTGGCCGATTTTCTTGCATGATACACCGTTGAAAAGCTCGACTTCTATTTTCGTATCCGTTGCTAGGCAATCCGATAAACACATGCTCAAATATCATGCCCGCAAGTTGAGGTGTCATTTGAGGGCGTATGCGGGCACATTGCCAGTTACCCACTTGCCAATCTCAGGGTGCATCCAGGCGCATTGCCAGTTAATGAGTTAATACCCACTTCGCATCTACAAGTGAACGTGTCACTGGAACAACGCCTGAGCCAAACGAAAATTTGTGGGCTTTCATTGACACTCTACCGGGTGATCCTGTTAGCACTCTTCGTCTTCGCAAAGTTAGCTATCGTGAAGTTTTGTCTGAATTCAAAAGTTTGCACTTGAGCTGTTCATGTTGCCCTGATGGTATTCCTGTTAAATACATCAAAATGGTGGCGAAGCAGCTAGTATCACCCCTGACACATATCATAAACAACTGCATATCAAAACAGCTATTTCCATCACCTTGGAAGACTGCGCGTATCTTTGCTATTCCAAAAGCTGAGATAACATCCAACAACGACCTCCATCCTATATCCATTCTTCCAACCTTATCCAAGATCTTCGAACGTCTGGTTCTTCGACAAATGTCTGATTTCGTAACCAACACAACTACTGGAGTACTTAAGAGCGTGTGTCTCTAAAAACCGCCCACTGACTTGAGGCTCAAAAAATAAATTTCTTCGAAACTTTTAACGTGAACTACATTTACTTTAACAACAAACAAATGCTGTTTGGAATTTTGAAAATATATTTAGTTTCAAAGTTTTAGCGATTTTTTGATCTTGCACCATCATGGGAGAAATTCGCCGGCTAATTAAATGAAAAAATGGGCTGAATTTAAATAAACATAATTTCAAAAGTTTTTGTTCAAAATTTCTGATATTCACACCCAGCACCGTAAAACTATCGTAATTTCATCTAAACTAACTTAGGTTTTCAATTACAGAGCATTTGTGCCAATATTTAGCGACAAAGAGCGCCATGTCAAAATACGGCTCAAATCCTACTATTTTCTACGTTGAATTTCTTAAAAGTGGGACCTAATTACATAGAGTGACTAGTATAGTTGGAAAAAGGACACTTAAGTACTAAAAATCGTAATAAAACTCGTCTGCAAACGCGATTTGAACAATTGAGAGCGTTTGAAATTTGATACTATTTATGGCCTTTTGTTTACATTTGAATGTTGCTGAGGTCAGATGTCTGAGTTCATGTCAATGCTGAAAATGCGCTGTAGTTCTGGCAAATAACCTTTTCCTCAAATAAGTTGATAGCACTATTGTACTAATCTATATTTCTTTGTTTATGTCCACCGTAAGTGGTTCCAAGGGATTTAAAATAATAGGCATGTTAAAATAAACAACTTGACCAAATTAATATGCTACTCGGGGGAAAAGCCTGCATGCAGCGCGAATTCTATATGTGGCACATGCTATATTTACAGTTTGCGTTGCAGCATACTAAACTATTGCTTAGTTCGAAAAGTCTATAAATGTGCAAAGTTTAGTTCTGGAACCTTTCTGCGAAGTTGATCTTTGAATTATACTGCTGCAAAATTTGAGAGTAATGCTATCGGTTCAACTCTATGCGGAGGGTGTGGGGGTGAATCGGGTATTAGACACTTAGAAGATTGTGATGAGAACATTCAAAACCATCTTTCAAGTTGCCGTTTGTCGAGATCTGGTTTTAGCAAGCACAAGCTGATTTTAATAGCGGGATTTTTACATGAAATATCAAGAGAAGAAATATGCTCTATGACAGTATGCCCAAACCACCGGTACAACTTGGGCCGATACTGGAGACCTCGTCTAACATGCCAACATCCTTCTCACGCTGCGCCTGCACGTCGCTGCAAAGGAAAAGATGTCATTAACCTGGAAGTATCACGGGATGTATTCCAAATTTATGGAGTACTTGCGCAAGTTGGTTCTTGTAAGTGATAAATATAGTCCGAATTAGAGATATATAATCGCATTGTTAATTTGTTATAAGCAATATAATTAGAGTTGCACCGCGAATAGGCCAGTGCGGCATTCGCATGGCAACATTGGAAATTAGAGGTATGCTGTAGTATCACCGCGACATGCTGATAATTAGCTTTTTACTCGGGCTAGCAAAGGTAGACCGAGTTATAAAATGGGTTTGCATTTCCCTGTCATGTTGCAAGTTTGCAAAAAACATGTGTGGGTGTCACTCATGCCACGTACAATGAAAGATGATCTCGCTGTGAATGTAGTTGTGGTATTTGGCAACTATAAACGCATCTTCCTATAAGTTGTTCCTTTTCGTGTTGAAAGGTGGGCTTCATTTGGCTATCCGCGTACTTGAATTTTAAATCTCAATATTACGCAAATTGTAGTGCTTTGTAAAGCCAAGCGCACCTGATGTTGTAGAGGACCGACTGCAACATTTGCGGTAAAACTGAGGCAAAATAGCGGATATAAAACAATCCGATCTTATCCGACTAGTATCAACTAAGAAAAATCGCTGAAAATGACAGAAAAACGTCAGGTATTTGTTAAATAACTGATGTCCTTGTGTGCGTCCGACTTAACATGCACCTACTCTAAAAATGCATTGCAGAACATTGTCTCATTTAACCTCGCCTTTACTCAGTGCTCCCTTTTATAACGCGCTAAGTGCCAATTTCGGTGTATGATAGGATGCTAAAAGTATATTTGTGTTTCAATGTTTGCATGACATTGACTGGTTGTACAGTACATAATAATCGAAATAGACCTTTCCGGTAATTATGTCACAACTGCATGGAAGCGAGGCTGAGGGGCCAAAGCAAACGCGCGATGCAGTTGTGACGTAATTACCGGAAAGGTAATAGTTTAATACAAAACAAAAGCTTTTGTTGGGTTTTCCCCGGGTATGTCACGCCGATTGTTGCAATATTCAATGTAATATATTTGTTCAATTTAATCGCAATATTCATTCAATTTAATTGTCATATTTTCATTCAATTCAATATTAAAATATTCATTCAATTTAATATTAAAATATTCATTCAATTTAATTGTCATATTTTCATTCAATTTAATATTTTTTTATATTTATTCAATTTAATATTAAAATATTCATTCAATTTAATTGTCATATTTTCATTCAATTTAATTTTTTTATATTTATTCAATTTAATATTAAAATATTCATTCAATTTAATTGTCATATTTTCATTCAATTTAATATTAAAATATTCATTCAATTTAATAAATATTTATTAAATTTTAAACTTTAACATATTTATTCAATTTAATGTTTGTATATGCATTCAATTTAATTTCAATATCCATTCAATAAATCCTAAATTCATTCAATCTTTTCTTGCCGTAAGGAACCTGGGTATGAGGTTGACCATATATGTCAATTTCCCACGCTTTTGCATCCCGCCATGTTTGGTTCACGTATGCGAATGTTTTAGAGCGACAACAGTGTGTTCAAGGTATTTTAAAACAGATTTAACGATGGACAAAAGAATATCAGATGCGGCAGAACTGCTGCGACAGGCTTCGAGTATGTTACTGTCAGTAGATCCAGGAACTTCTTCATCTCCAGCTTTAGTGCGAAGCCCAGAGGCAGAGTCTGAACGTCCGACAGTAAGACCACAGGGAAGATCAGTAAACGAGACCCTCGCAAGAGCAAGGAGTATGATGCAAAGCAGTAGAACCACTGGAGTGTTTAGGCGGCTTAGCAGCAGCGAAAGATTGAGAGCAACTTCAGGACCAAAGGAAAAGAAAAGCAAAACGGCTTCTTCGACTGGTAGTAAAGATAAACCTTTCGAATTTGCCCTGCTTGCTTGTGGAGATGTCGACAGTGATGAACCAGATGACAGCTTGAAGAAGGACATGATTCTGGATCGAGGTATTGTGAGTCTTAATGAAAAAGATAACGAAGCTGCTATTCGAGAAAAACTTGTTTCATCGCTTAAAGGCAAGTATGGCATGATTGGTCAAAATGATTTTGAATTTATAAAAGTAAATCAGAAAAAAATCTCGGTTCTACATTTAAGTAAAGGAACAGAGTATAATTACGACGTTGTCAAGAAACTTGTAGGACAAGGGCTTTTGTACGTTAGAATTAGAAGGGGATATGAATTTGTAATTGAACAAACTTCAGATTCTGGATCAGACTTTGTCATGACATGTCCTGCTGCTGAGAATGATGCTAAAACTGAAGCACATCTTTCAGAAGACGAGAACATGCCCCAGTCAGGACTAGCAGATGAATTACCTGTGGCTGCACAGCCACCCATCTCAGTAGATCTATCTCAGCAGCCTGGTTCAAGCACAAATGTAGAAAGTCCTCACACGTTCTTTGACACGGTTGTAAATGAGTTTCCATCAAATATAACTGAACCAACAGAAATCCTTAGATATCTACAAAAGAAAATTGTTAGAGGTAGACCATTGGAGGTAATTGATCCTTCCACAGACCTTCAAGGAGAAACAAACTTCATAACTGTAGACAGAGAGAACATTCTTCAAACTACTTTTGAGGAACTAAAGTCTGTTGATGATCCCAGAGTCACATTCGAGGTCCAGTTTTATGCGGAACAAGCTGTGGACAGTGGTGGTCCACGTAGAGAGTGGATGCGACTTTGCAATCAACAAATCAAGATCAAGTATTTTGATAATGGTATCAAAGAGCATTTGTCGGAAGATTACTTCTATGTTGGACAAATGATTAGCATTGCTCTTCTACAAAATGGCCAGTTACCTGTCTACATCCCTGAAGATATTTTGCAGGCCATATTTGTGGGGAAATGTGAGCAGTTGTCTCCTTGCATATGTAGCTAAAGCGTGGTATGGATACATTGGGGATTCCAGCATTTGGAAGAAAATTTCCCCAGTTGTTGTACCTTCTCAGGCCATCCACCATTGCCAAGTTATCAGTTCGCAGGCTTCTATTCCTGCTGAAACCAGCATTTTCTGAGGAAGGGTCCAACGCTCTGTCTCGTGAGAAAGCTGTGTATACAAAATTTGTAAAATACACAAGGGAGGTATACACTGGAGCTAGTGAACAACCACCCCTTGGTTTTACAAGACCCCCCAACATCCAGTTCATAGAAGTTGACAACAAAGAGTTGACTACTACAACAGAAAATGAGGTAAGCATTTTATTATTTGTATTTTCACCATTTAGTTGTCATATTGTTAT